GCCGCTTACAATATTCAAAAATTTAAATGCAACGCCAATCGCCATTTTCTGTCTCTCTGAAACCTGTTCTTTTATCGTTCTTTCCTCATTCTCTTTTCACTCATGCGTGTTAGAGGCATTATCGTTTCGCTTGGGGTGAAATGATTAAAAAATACATTCACTGGGAATCTGATAGAAAATTTTATTTTATTTACCAAAATAAAAGTATCAGATGTCTTTTATAACGATTTCTAATGGTAACCATCAAAACATTAGTGCAGTTATGTAAGCGAATAAATATCCAACTCAACTGGAAAATATTATTAAAATTATATTTTTACTTAACAATAATTATAGGTAATTTTATATGGCAGTTTCTACATCTCAACTGCCAAAATTGCTAAGTCAACTGACTTCAACCAATTTTCTATTGTTGACTTCAATGTTCGCTTGTATATTTACATACGCTCTCTGATATTGAGCACTTTATCCCATAAATATAGCACATCTTAATACGCAATTTCTATATAAATATATATCTACATACGTATATATGTATATAACTATACGTCTCTTTCTCTCCCTATTTCTCTATATATACACACACATACCTCTGTCGCTATGTCTCTCTCTCCCTCTCTCTATATATATATATATGTCTCTCTCTCCCTCTCTGTATATATATATCTATGTCTCCCTCTCTCTACATATATATATATATAGATGTCCTTCCCTATATATATATATCTATATGTCTCTCTCTCCCTCTCTCTCTCTATATATATATATCTATATTTCTGTCTGTCTCTCTCTATATATATATTTATATGTCTCTCTCTCTATATATATATCTATATCTATATGACTCTCTCTCCCTCTTTCTCTATATATCTATATATATCTCTCTCCCTCTCTCTCTATCTATATATATATATATATATATATATCTATCTATATATCCCTATATATATATATATATATATCTCCCTCTCTCTCTATATATATATATCTATATATATCTCTCTCCCTCTCTCCCTCTATATATATCTATATATATCTCTCTCCCTCTCTCTCTATATATATATCTATATATATCTCTCTCCCTCTCTCTCTCTATATATATCTATATATATCTCTCTCCTCTCTCTCTATATATACATCTATATATCTCTCTCCCCTCTCTATATATATATCTATATATATATATATATATATCTATATATATATATCCCTCTCTCTATATATATCTCTATATATATCTCCCTCTCTCTATATATATATCTCTCCCTCTCTCCCCCTATATATATCTATATATCTCCCCTCTCCCTCTCTATATCTATATATATATATATCTATATCTCTCCCTCTCTCTCCCCTATATATATCTATCTCTCTATATATATATCTCTCTCCCCCTCTCTCTCTCTATATATATATCTATATATATCTCTCTCCCTCTCTATATATATATACATCTATATATCTCCCATATATATATCTCTCCCTCTCTCTCTATATATATATATATATATATATCTATATATTCTCCTCTCTCTCTATATATATATCTATATATATCCTCTCTCTCTCTCTATATATATATATATATATATCCCTCTCTATCTATATATATCTCTCCCTCTCTCCCTCTATATATATCTATATATATATCTCTCCCTCCCTCTATATATATCTATATATCTCTCTCCCTCTCTCCCTCTATATATCTATGTATATCTCTCCCTCTCTCCCTATATATATCTATATGTATCCCCTCTCTCTCCTATATATATCTCTCTCCCTCCCTATATATATCTATATATATCTCTCTCCCTCTCCCTATATATATCTATATATCTCTCTCTATCTCTCCTATATATATCTATGCATATCTCTCTCCCTCTCTCCCCCTATATATATCTATGTATCTCTCTCTCTCTCTCCCCTATATATCTCTATATCTCTCTCCCCTCTCCCCTCTATATATATCTATATATATCTCTCTCCCTCTCTCCCTCTATATATATCTATATATCTCTCTCCCTCTCCTCTATATATATCTATATATCTCTATCTCTATATATATCCCTCTCTCCTCTCTCCCTCTATATATCTATATATATCTCTCTCCTCTCTCTCTATATATATCTATCTATATATATCTATATATATCTCTCCCTCTCTCTATATATATCTATATATATCTCTCCCTCTCTCTCTCTCTCTATCTCTATATATATATATATCTCCCCTCTCTATATATATATCTATATACATCTCTCTCCATCTCTCTCTCTATATATATATATCTATATATCTCTCTCCTCTCTCTATATATATACATCTATATATATATATCTCCCTCTCTCTCTATATATATATATCTATATATCTCTCCCTCTCTCTCTATATATATATCTATATATCTCTCTCTCCCTTTCTCTCTCTCTCTCTCTCATATATATATATATATATATATATATATATCTCAGACAGACTGAAGGCAAGGCCAAGAAGTTTCAAGGGAAACAATGAGTAACCAACTTGAGTAGTTTGTGTAAATAGATGGTAGTAAATTGACGGGGAGGCCTAATAAAGGGACAGACATTGTTACGAATGATAGGATGTTGTGGCGAGCCATGTCCTTACACGTTCTCAAGGGACACGGCACAAAGACGGGAATAATAGTGATTAATTATACAAATAACCGTCAGGAAATGAATCTCTACTCTATGACTTGCTGGAATATTCTGTTCATTTTCATGACAAATAGAACTGAATGTCACATTCAAGGAGAGAAGCATCACGGGAAATAAAAAAAATTAAAAAGAAATGAAAACACAAAGAAAACAGAAAAAGAAATGAAATTAAAAAAATATTGAAAATAGTAATTTTAAAAAATTATTAGAAATGAAATAAGAAATTGTAAAGGAAATACATAAAAATACCAAGAAAAATGAAAGATGTCTCTTAAATTAAATTCAAAGTTATAAATAAACAACATTCTTTTTGAATCAAATTTTCATCATTGGCCATTCTCGGTGTTTTGACTCCCTAGCGTGAAATATCAGAAGCATTATAATTATCGCTATTGTTCCTGCCTCGTCTGAAGTATCAATCTGCGCTCTTAGAGTCCCTAAAATTCTTTCAGCTTCTATATTTTTACCTGCATCATGCAGATATTTAAAAAGAAAAAGAAATTATTTTCTTTTCTGACATCCTACATAATGTTCCTTATAACGCCAGGTATTTCATTCGTGAAGAAGGTATTCGATATTTCCTACTTCTTGCTACGGATATGGATTCTTTTTAAACAAAACAGTAAAAAGTCAAGAAGAAAGATCTAGAATGTTGAGCTGCAAAGGAAGTAATTATTACGTGTGTGGCTGACGAACGCTTAGCGGGAAATACAGAAACGTGATCTGCATCTGATACTGTTTGTCATGTTAGTGTTACTACTCTATCTTACTCTCTATAGACACTGACCATGTGCCAGCTTTATTCCACTGGGCCATGTTGGATAAATACACATATACAAAATCCTCGACTTACGACAGATTTGTCACTACGATGCGTCGATGGTATGATACTAGCAAAAATCACCATATTTTCGACATGATTTAAGCGTCGGAACAACATCCGCGATTTTCCGTGAATAAGAATTTACGTCACTTGCCTACGTTAATACAATAGTGAAGTAACGTGACATACTTTAACATAATTAAAAAACAAATGGAGGACATGGATATAATACATATATTGGTCCACGGCGTCGTATGTACGAGGCAAACAGAATAAGTCGAAACAAGATCAATAGAGATTGCGCCGTAAACACGGATAATCGTAGGTCTGGACTGTTCTAACCAGATCACCTACTCCATCTGTCTCATAATATATATATCATACTTATTATAAAACCCAGGTTGTGTGTGTGTCTGTGTCTGTTCGTTTAAATATTGGATCGGATTTCCTACATTTTTCAACCGATTTCAACAAAACTTCACAGGACTACGTAAAATTACCTTGCGGTGGTTCTGACAGCGCCAAAAATAGGAAAAACACAATTGTTTTCGCACGAAATCAATTTGAAAACACGATTAAGAGGCATCGCTGTTTCGAGAATGAAAGGGGGACAAATATCGAGTTATACTTGTTATAAGACCCAGGTTGTGTGTGTGTGTGTTCGTTTATATATGGGATCGGATTTCCTACATTTTTCAACCGATTTCAAAAAAACTTCACTTTTTTTTTTGGTAGGTAGGTAGTGTTTCTTATTGTCTTGCACACTTTTTTCTTTATTTTTATTCAGAATGCTTTAAAAATTCCATTTACAAGACAATTGTTTATAATAAAATTCTATTCAATCTCATAACGATTGAAAACAATGTTTTTGTTTGAGTTTGGGTTTGACCAATTCGTAAAAAAAAATAAAAATAAAAAAAAATAAACAAAAAAAAAAAACTAATTAAGACGTGCGTGTCCGTCAACCTTAAACAATAATCTTTGTCAATTTTATTTTTCAGTCTTTATGATGGTCGATACTTGATCTATCTCTTACTGTTACACCCCGGGCAACTCCGGGCTCTACTGCTAGTATATATATATATATATATATATATATATATATATATATATATGAAGAGAAAGAACAGCCAAATTAAGGATACACAGTTCTTTAGCATTTGCTTTTTTAAAAAAGTGCTCAATACAACGTAGAGCATAATATTTTGATAATATTTTTATTTAAAAAATATTTTACATCGTGACACAGAAACTTCTATGTTTTAGAACCTTAAATTTATTCAATTATCAAGCGATATTAGGTAACATGGATGAAAATGATTTGCTTTTGAAAACAGAAGAGTATTTTATTGACGAGTTAAGGAGGAGGGAGAAAACAATTTTAATATTTTATGGGTATGTCCTGTTAGACCAATCAAAAGACAGATGAAAGCTTAAGTAGAAAAGTGACAAATATAGGGTTAGAGGTTGTAAGGGGTGTTATTCATACTTGTCGAGATGAAATGTCATTTGTAAATGTTTCTCCATTACATCCGGTTACGAATATAATTTTAAGATACAAAGAAATAATTTTATATATATATATATATATATATATATATATATATAAATAAAAAACAATAAATTAATTTAGGATTTTTAAAATTATATTTGTATATACTTTAGAACAATATTAAAGGGACCTCTAGGATGATTAAATCATTTTTATATATATTATATTATTTTATATATATTATATTATTTTATTTTGATCCTAAATTACAATAAAATATTTTTACATGAAATTATTATTAAAATGTACACACACATATATATGTAAAATAGGAATATAATATAATATAATATAATAAATATATACATATATATATATATATATATATATATATATATATATATATATAAATAAAATGCACATATACATAATGTGTGTGTATATATATATATATATATATATATATATAAAATGCATATATACGTAATGTGTTTATATATAATGCATATATATACATGTGTGTATATATATATATATATATATATATATAAATGCATATATACATAATGTGTGTATATATATATATATATATATATAAAATGCATATATATATGTGTATATATATATATATATATATATAAAATATATATACGTAATGTGTATATATATATATATATATATATATAATAAAATATATATATACATGTGTGTGTATATATATATATATATATATATATATATATATATATAAAATATATATATACGTAATCTGTGTATATATATATATAAAAATGCATATATACATGTGTGTATATATATATATATATATATATATATGTCTAGATATGTGTGTATTCTGCATATTAATTTTCTATTCATATTTCTGAATATACAAAAACATGGCCAAATAAATGTTAGAGACAAAACCAAAAAATTGGCAAGAACGGATTTTCTTTTGGGATCTGTAGAAAATCCCTTCTAGAAAAGCAGATCACTTTCAGACACAATCATAAATCAGTTCCATCCATGATGTTTTATTTATTTATTTTTTGTGGGGGTGGCGTCCTTTCTTTTTTCTGCCATTTCTTGGCATCGTTTGAAGGAAATCTTCAAGTTTACAGGCCTGGAAACGCCAAGAAAACTTTGTCGGAAAAACTTTCCATCTTCCGTCTTTCCTATTTCTAACCACAAGATTTTTTTCCTTGTTTTTTTCTAAAGATATATCCTTCCCTCGTTCGCTCCACCCAGCTCTCCATTTTCTTTTTGATTCTTCCTTCCTTCTCACCTCTTTCACTCATTTCCTTCTTTGTGGTTGTCTTTCTATTCTTCTCTACCTTCCTACTTCACACCCCGCGTCCTTTTTTTCTCTCTCTATTCTTCTTCCCTTCCTTTCCCCTTCACGTCCTCCCTTCTTTATCCCTCTCTATTATTCCCTTCCTAACTTCTTCACTTTTCTCTCTCTCTCACCCCTCTTCACGCCCTCCTTTCTTTCTCTTTATTCTTCCCTTCCTTCCTTCCTTTTCCACGCACTTCTTTCTCTCTATTCCTCACGCCCTTCTTTCTTTCTATTCTTCCCTTCATTCCTTCCTTCTTCACGCCATCCTTTCTTTCTCTCTTCTTCCCTTTCTTCCTTTCCTTTCCCTTTCTTCCCTTTCTTCCTTCTTCGCGCCATCCTTTCTTTCTCTCTATTCTTCCCTTTCTTCCTTCTTCGCGCCATCCTTTCTTTCTCTCTATTCTTCCCTTTCTTCCTTCTTCGCGCCATCCTTTCTTTCTCTCTACTCTTCCCTTTCTTCCTTCTTCGCGCCATCCTTTCTTTCTCTCTACTCTTCCCTTTCTTCCTTCTTCACGCCATCCTTTCTTTCTCTCTACTCTTCCCTTCCTCCTTTCTTTTCTTCTTTCCCGCCTTCCTTCTTTTCTTTCTCTCTATTCTTCCCTTTCTTCCTTCTTCACGCCCTTCTTTCTTTCTCTCTATTCTTCCCTTTCTTCCTTCTTCACGCCCTTCTTTCTTTCTCTCTACTCTTCCCTTTCTTCCTTCTTCACGCCCTTCTTTCTTTCTCTCTATTCTTCCCTTTCTTCCTTCTTCACGCCCTTCTTTCTTTCTATTCTTCCCTTTCTTCCTTCTTCCGCCCTTCTTTCTTTCTCTCTATTCTTCCCTTCCTTCTTCCTTCTTTCTTTCCATTTCCTTTCTTTTCTCTATTTTTCTCTTTTTCCTTTCTTCCTTCTTCACGCCATTCTTTCTTTCTCTCTACTCTCCCCTTTCTCCATTCTTCACGCCCTCCTTTCTTTCTTTATCTCTCTCTTTTCTCCTTCGTTCGTTCGTCCCTTCCTTCCTCGCACCATCCCGGCTTCATCTTTCTATTCTTCCTCCCTTCCTCTCTTATTCATGCACTCCCTCTTTCATCTCTTTCTTTCTAACGCACCCTTCCTTTCTATCCTTACCCTCTTTCAATTCTCCTTTCCATTGGCCTCCTTTCTACATAATTCTTTTCTTTCAAATCCCCCACTAGTAAGGGGGTTATGGAAAACAATTTCAGGTCTTGGACAGATTACACGTAAGACTCTTTCTTTCGAAACTTTGAACAAATATTTGGATTGATGTACGCAAATAATCTCCATCTACATAAATAAATCATATTATATTTTTAATCACAATCAATATTCCCACACACTTATTCACAATTTAAAAAATGATTACAAGAACCTCCAATTAGACAACAAGATCAAAGACATTTTCGATAAACCACCCATAAATGCAATGAAACAATCACCTAACTTATCAGCTATCCTCACCTCTACCAAATATCTAAACAATAGAAACCAAACAGGAAATTACAAATGTAACAAACCTCCTGGCTTAGTTTTAACATTTAATAATAGCTAATACATTTTCCGTCCTAATAGTGGATATATTGGTGAGTCTGTAAACAATTTTAGATTTCGTTTTAATAACCATAAACAAACAATGCGTCAAAACAACCCTTATTCCAACAAAGCTAAACACTACAATCAATCAGGACACACATTAGAAAACTGCAAATGTTTATTAATAGATTCCGATTTTACTTCAACATTCACACGCAGAAAAAAAGAAACATATTGGATTTTAAAATTAAATACACATAAACTAGGGTTGAATAGGGACTTAGGTGTTTTAAATCTTTATAAATATTTCAATAGTTAAGCAATTTTTTTTTTTTACTTTCATAAAATAAAACATTATAATTTTCAATTTGAAACTTTTTCTCTCTCTCTCTCTATATATATATATATATAAACTTGGTGGATGAAAAAACCTGGATAGCACAATTTTCAAATAAATTGGCATCCGAGGAAAAATGGAAAATAAAAAAAAGCCAGTTCACCCTGATGATCCCATGTGGTGAAACCTCAGTAGGTAGTACCTGGCTCAATAGGATTTATATATATATATATATATATATATATAAAAATGAACGGATGAAAAATCTTGCCCGAACACGTTTGAATTATGTAAATGATTTGTCTCAGACGAAATATTTTTTTTTTTTTTTTGACTGTCTACGTGTATATTTGTTTATTCTATCCCGTCTTCTCCATCTTGGATTTTGAAAAGTCTCCAAAATTTATTGTAGCTTTTGCAACTTGCAACGTGTTTCTGTTCTTACTAAAAATAAAAAGAAAGCAGTTTACATTCTAGTGGTCTGAATAGCATCTCCCCGACATAGTTTTTTGGGTGGATCAAGGTTGAAAATATATTTCTCTATCTTCGGCATGAATAACCATGTCTCTCTCTTTCACCCTGACATCATGCCAGACAACGTGTATGTATTGGACAAGACTCGACTTTTCGTTGTCTTGGAGAAAGCTGTTCTGCTGTTTACTCAAATTCTCAGAATTCTATATGTAAAGATATTTTTGTTGGATATTTGAATGAAGACAATCGTCTTGACAAATGAACTGAGAACTGAAGATATTTCTGGAGCCGAGGTGGGAAATGGCGGGAGGTCTTTGAATTATGTCAGTCAAGTTTCTGGGACACGGAAAAAAACGGGACATGAGGTTCAAATTAAAATAAGTTGTTACAGTTCAGTTTTTTTTCTCTTATGTGCCGTGTCACTTCAGAACGAAAACGATCATCGTTCTCCACAATATCCCCTGTTACACACACACACACACACATATTATATATATATATATATATATATATATATATATATATACATATTACATTGAATACGACAGACAAGGTGCTTTTATTTAGTTTTTTTATGCAATTTCTCATGCGATCTAATTTTTTTTTTCTTTTCGGATAATAAATTATATAAAAACGGTCCGAATGTTCTTTTTATCCGAGCGCCTCCGGCTATACATTTAGCCATTTTCAAGGATTAAATATTTTAACTGTTAAATAAGAAATAGTTTGTTTTATGTATGTTTTATATAATGTTTTCAATTTTTAAAACACGGTCAATATATTTTATAAAACATATATACAAGGTAAATAGAATGTCAAGGTAAAAATTTCGCTTGAAGATGAAACAGAACTAATGATTTTAATTTAATTATATAATTAAATTTGATGTTGTTAGTTTCGGCTTTTGAAACATGTGTAGCGAAGAAACCATATTTTAAATCAGTTAATTTATAATATTTATGCTCTGTAAATTTACATTGAGCACTGTTTTGTAAAAATAAAAATATCAATAAGAACACCGGATTATATACCTTACTGTTCTTTCTTTTGATTATATATATATATATATATATTCCATTGAATTATGTAGACATATTATGTCTATTTTTTATAATAATACATTGTTCTTTTCTCATCAGTTTTTTTTATGTTAAGTTAAAATTCATCAAGAAACATTCCTACTCAAGTACTGTTTTTCAATTTCCATCAAGATGAATTCGTGGTGTGAATTTCAAAGGTGAACTCATAAATTTCATCGCTGTGATAATGATTTTTTTAAAACACGCGAAAACGCGCTCTGTTATAATTATTTTAAAATTTAAAATTTATTTGTTGAGTGTTGTCTGTTTCGCAAAAACTTCCATAGCTTGTAGCTATGGATGTTTTGCAAAGCAACCAACACTCAAAGAAATTTATTACAAGTGTAGCCACAACGTGTTGAAGTGCATTCAACCAACATTTAATGTCATTTTATATTTCTACCAATTTCTGGTAGATTCCTTATCTTGGGACGCGTAACACGAAAAACATTTTTCCTTATATATATATATATATATATATATATATATATATTATATGCAGTGTTACATTAGAATATACACATACCCACTACAAAACTGTACATTTTGTTTCAACGTTAAAATTTTTTAACGTTTCATCAGGTGGAAATCACGATGCTGCTATATATATATATATATATATATATATATATGTGTAGCATATCTTCATTCAAGCGTGTTTGGCTGAATTATGTAGACATATTTTGTGTATTTCTTTTAATCCTCTCAAATATGTGTGCGTAAAATAGGATATAAAATCCCAAGAAAGGTTTTAAGAAATTTGACAAATGCAAAACCGTTTCATTCAAACTATATATATATATGTGTGTGTGTGTGTGCTTGTGCGTGTTTCCAACAGTAAAACATATTAAAAAATTAAATTTTTTAGACACACTGGGTTGTATATTAATATTTTTTGTTTGATTATTTCAATTAGGTTCATCATCAAGAGAAAAAATCCCTGCTTGTTAGTAGCAGCGAACTACAGGAGCGAATGACTGTTTCTGAAGAAAGTGAACTTTATCTTTAGTTTTCATTTGTTTTTTATCGTTAATTTTAGACTCTGTAAAAGAAGAACATGAATAACGACAAAAGCAAAACTTAGCCGATGCTTTTCGTTCTCTGTGGGACATCATCAGGGCAAATGTGAGGATTTTATTTTACTATATATATATATATATATATATATATATATATATATATATATATATATATATATGTGTGTGTGTGTGTGTGTGTGTGTGTGTAAATTTTAGAGTCTATCTTTAAAGAAGAACATGAACAGTGCCAAAATTAAAACGTATCTTAGCCGAAGGGTTTCGCTCACTGAGGGACTATCAAGATACTTGTCTTAATAAAGGCACATTTGCCTTGATAAAGTCCCTCAGAAATTAGGAGGCAAAGATAAGTTTTGTTTTGTATATATATATATATATATATATATATATATTATTTAAAAATTTGGATTCATCGCGACACAGAAATTACCATGTTTCGGAACTAAACACTAAATATTAAATCTCTATCTATAAAAGGCAGGATATGTGTGCGTGTGTAACGAATGCACGCCCGCAATTTTCGACTGATTTGCACCAAAATTTACATGCCCATGCACCAAGTTAGCCGGAAGGCCAAGACCGACATTGCATTTCCCAATTCCCATCGATAGTGGAAATAATCGATTTTTTCATGCTTCTACGGCAGTTTTCATGTAGTTTGCGGCCATTTTCTACTGGCCAGAGTGAGAGCCTATAGCTGGCCGCCACGAATAGGCAGGAAAATTCTATTGGCCAGCGTGAGAGCCAACAGCTGACTGACACGAATGTTAACTAGCATGCTAGCATGCAAAAAAAAAAATCCATAGCTGCATTCGTCACAAGAGGAAAATTTAAATCTGCATGGCACTTTACTCCAATTGGCTCATTCGCTTGCTTAAACTCAACGTTGATTCTGATTCCGCAGAACTGGGTTGGGTGTGAAAAAGTATTTGTTGTTAACATTCTTTTTTCATTCGGTTTTTCCAGTTACGAGTCCTTTTTTAAAGCTGATCGTTTTGTATTCATTTTGTTTAGTTCTTTTTTCGTAACAGATTTAATGTTTAGTATAGAGCTTAGAAAAAATTTGCAGTGTGAGATAGGCAAGAAGTAAGGCATGTAGCAACATCAGGACGGCAAAGGGCACTCCTTTAAAGGCAAGGAAGGGCAAAAATATTTTAAATCAAGTGATTGCGATTGCTCTATGAGTCGTACGATTTTTGAATCAAGCACGGGCAACGCCGGGCCATGCTACTAGTTATACTTAAAATAAGAGTTTTTGTTCCATTTTCAAGAAATGTTGAATAACTTACAAAGAAATGATTTACTTTTTTTAAGCTAAATACAGTTTAAGTCAGAGGAGGAAATGGATTACAACTTAAACTATATGAATACATATTCTGAAATATAATTATAGTATTATGCTCTTCTGTGTATTGAACACTGGTTTTAAAAATAAATGCTAAAGAACTTTGGATTAAAACTCTGACTGTTCTTTCTTTTTATTTTGATATTATATATATATATATATATATATATATGTATGTGTGTGTGTGTGTGTGTGTGTGTGTGTGTGTTCTCAAGTTTTCCACATTCTTTTGTTTCGTAACGGGGTGCGGAGAATGTAAACATGTTTTTTTTTTACTAAGGTTAGACGATGACCTATAAACAGAGACACATATGGTTTGGGGGATACAAGGATAATTTTTCAGCATTAGTATTAAAAAAAAAAAAAAAAAAAA